ACGAATTCGATCTGTTTACATAACTTGGGTTTGCATCGTCAAATGGTAGCTGCCTCTGCGAACCGAAGTAGACGGTTACCTTTCTCGCGGATCAGGACAAGAAAGGCTACCCTAGGTTTGTCACATTCTCTACCTGAAATCCAGGGCTGCAAAATTTTCTTGAGAAGTTTTGAACGTCCACAAACAATGGCTACGAAGATGGTCAATGGGCTGCATTCAAAACTTGTGTGCAACCACTGCAACCATGTTGTTAGGGCGAATTCGAGATAACTTGATCTTTGTGATTCACAGATTAAAAAGCCTCCACCATCCATGTAGTCTACTACTCATGTTTTCGACCAACATCCACCCAAAAAATTCATTTAGATGCTATTAAATGCCGGAACCACTCGTTTTTCCTTAGGACTTGCACTACTCGGAATTTCCTACCTTCACTTATGAGCCAAAAATCGAACAACTCAACCGGAGACCTGAGGAATAATCAGTATCTGAAAGTTCAACTGGGCGATGTTGCTCCCAAGTTAGACTGTGTACAGCATTTCTCGTCTTTCTTTACCCGGATAATCAATTATGGTGTACCAAAAAGTCTATGTTATGAGAAAAGTAACAGCTTTCAACCAGCTCCTATAATAAAATCTTGACTTTTTTCATTGTCTTAAACAATAGAAAATGTATCACACTGATGTGCTTTTCTCGAGCTCATGATGGGATTATTGATCTGAAATTTTAATCCTTTTTTGTATTCATAATTGATTTATCTCATAATATAATACCCTGGCCTCAGTCACACAACATACTACGTTTACGGTCTTATATTTTACTGTATTTTTACCGAAATGCTTCTGAAATCTGGCTTTAAGGGGACCTTCAATAGCCGGGACGCTTTGGGGACTGCAACAGCCAGCAGTGCGAGCCGCTTTACCATGACCCAGAAGGGACTTAAAACGTAATAAAATAATAGAAGTGGAAACTTTAGGTAGGACTTGGTCTTAGAAGAAATATAAACTTTGTCAAAAATGTATTGGTAACCGTTCCAAGATACCTCATCATTCGTGCACAAAGGATCGAATCAAATTCCGGGTATTCGCGTCGTTGCAGTTAGTTCTCGAACCCCTCTAAATAGGGTTCAAAAACATTCTTTTCAGCGTGCCTCTTTTGATGCATATGCGCTTTTGTTCTATTCCGGACTAAACATTTCTCAAATAGTCGCCTCTTATCATTTGCCCGACTGCTGCGATATTTCTGATTCTTGATTACAACGTGCTTGCATTTAGACGTTTGCATTTATACTACTCATGGGCACGTTGAAAAATGAGGAAGGATGCGAAGCGTATGCACCACAGCCGGCTGCTTACCATAGTCAAGAAAAGACCAAACTCTGGATTCAAGTCCACGTGGTCACCGTCGGAAAAGATGAACGATGTTTTCCCCTCTCNCCCCTCTCGTTTTGCACCGAGAATGATTGCGATCTGTTGAGCAGCCACCGAGAGGACCGGCAGTTCGATTCTATTGAATTCGTCGAAACAACCCCACGAGCCGGACTGAGCCAGACCTTTAAATATGCGACCCAGACCACGGAAGTCCATTTGATCGGAACAGTTGAACACGACCACATATTTGCCCAAACATCGACCCATATCCTACGGCCGTTAGGGGATGGGGGAGTTGAGGACGTGTCAGATGACCAAACAGGGTACGAAACGATCAAGCGTGTGTTTACACAAATGAGTGTGGCTTGAAATTTTTTTCTTTGTTGAACGTTGCTACATCGTTAAAAATAAATATGTATCAGTAATAATCATCAAATATCAATTAGTGAATTACATTAGTCCAAATCAAATGCCTTTATTTTTAAGGAAATACTTTTCTATTCGTTAAAATGGCAAGTGACTAATTGTGCAGTGGAGCACATCAGTAAATAAGCCAGCGTGGGAAGAGAAAGATAAGTTTACTTGACTTAGCCAACAACCTATTTAGCGTTGCTCAACGGGATTATTTTCCATCATCTACCTTCATCAGGTAGAAAAAGAGGTTGGGTTCTAGACTGGCTAGGGTTGAAATCAACTGTATTTTTTACTCGTTGCTTCAGGTAGTTGTGCTATAATAATCAAAAGTTGATCTCATATTTAGTGAAAGGACTTCACACTCATACTATCAGTCGATAGATTCCCTTGTGGTTAGATTTCAAATCCGGTGATATGAAGTCCTTTTATTGAGAATAGCTCACTCACTTATTGAGCAGAACTGGACTGGATAGCTTTTATGTCAACTTCATAATACTGCGCTTATAAATTGCTTCCAGAGAATTGCAAACGACTTGGTATAGCTCATTGATTTGTATGCTCTTTTCGATCACGATAATAATTACATAGTGGGGGTTTTCCGATATAACACCCTCTCTTGGGGAACAAAAACTACTGCGATCAAATCTTTATATTCTTTCTGTAATATTCAAAGAGAGATGGAACTGTCTAAATGGTGTCACAGAACACATGATGGGAATACGAAGTGGTAAACGAGCAAGTTCTCAGTGCTGTCTAATCATGCCATTACAACATTTCGTGGTCCTATCAGATAATCGTCCACGAACGTCATCCATTGGAAGAGTTTGAATACCAGGCTTGGGAATCTCATTAATTATTATAATATGCAGTCTATATGTACGTCTTTTTTATCCCCCACTTTGGTGATCACTAATGAAAGTAATCCTAACACTTACTTGCCAGCTGACAACGATTTATCCAAGCTGATTAATCGATACAGTATAGTGTCTCATTATCATTCCGTCCGCATATCAGGACAGATCTTACGATCTGGTGTATGAAATGCATCAAACAGTTATTTCGATGATTGCACAAGAAACGGATCTGATTTCACTAAATCTCCTCATTTTTAAGGTTATAACATTTATGTAAAAGCCATAGTCAAGTCAAGTCAAGTATTTGCTTTATGCACCCCGAAAGGTGGATATTCAGCAGTCACATAGTCATCTAACAATTATCGAACAAAATTATAGCATAATTATCTTGAGCAGTGAAATGAATACAATTTAAGAGATAACTGAGTATAGGTCCGAAGCAATGCTTTCTGCGCTGACAAGAAATCGGGCAAGATAGGGCACCACAGAAGACCGATAAGCGGTCGTACGAGCAAATATACACTTACAACGGGACCGGGTGGAAGAGGAGGAAACACACTTGATAAGATCTTGATGTAATGGATGTGAAGGGTTATCCAAGATTTTTGTTGATAACGAAAGACATGACTTTTTATGTTGGGAAATGATGAAGTGACAGATAGTTTCACGGGATAGATGTGTTAATGATCTGGAAAGCAGTTTAAAGTCTTTTTTGAGCATCCCTGGAAAGATTACTGGGGACCCATACAACCATAAGGGTAAAATACAGGCAAATAGAAAACG